ACATCATACTCATAGTGCTATCTATACCCATCCCTCCCTTAGGGCATAGGGTGACATCGTCCGTAGTTTCTACTCTTAATTTCACTTTTGCATAGTTTAACGGAATTTAAAAAACTTCCCATGCACGTTACTCTTTTAATTATATAGATGTTGTAATTTTATTTTAGTGCCATATTGGTATATATATATATATATGATGCTGTAAATTACAAACCCGCCTTTATACTTCATAGTTACGGTGGCACCCCTACCTCCTCTCTTAATTAAAAACCTAATCATTTCAAGTAAACCTGGGTAAACTGAACCAGGTCTACTTACCTAACATCATCTATTCCAACCCATATATTCTGAAAATTTTATTTGCAATAACGAGAGGCTTTATACTAAGATCTTACATACTAGCGTCCTCTAAAGAATATAGAAATAACTGTTTGTAAAAGGTAAATTTTCTAATAAGTTATAAAGTTTAAATGTTTATTAATTTCATATAAAAGTTTATTTTACTAACTCTACATTGTACTTGCCCGGCATGGCCAGGTGGTTAGGGAGCTCGACTCGCAATCTAAGGGTCGCGGGTTCAAATCCCCGTCACACCAAACAGGCTCGTCCTTTCAAAGAGGGAAGGGTTGCATCCTTGACGTAAGAAATAGCTTTAGAAACGATGGCAGAACAAGATCTGCTATCGGCTCAACGGTCCGCAAGGACTATGAGAAATGAAAAAAAAAACATTGTACTTAAAGAAAGTGCTTTTATTACAGATTGTTAACACCTGCCACACGAGCTATCCCAGCATATTTTACTACTAAGTCTAGGATGAGCAACATGGGTGGGGGATAATTCCGGAAACCGATGATTTAGGGTTATTTCAATAGATATTGTTGAATTAAGCTCGGCACAACTTCTACAACGAAAACATACAAATACTGAATATTAATGAAAATATGACATGATGTCATTTATATGGATTATTCTGTTGTGATACCATACCGGGCATTATACCATCCTTTTAATATATACTCTTCAATGCAGATAGGCATTTTAAATTTGAGAATCGCTAGGGGAATCATCGCGCATCTGATTCAACCTCAACACTACATCTTTGAGCTTTACTGTACCGTTAGTGTCACAAAATATTGAAACTAATGATTTCTTATATATGATTCCAATCCCCCTTTTTAAGATAACGACACTATTGTGCCTGTTATTTTATGTTTCGCTGCCAATCCAGTAATTAATTGACGAATCTCCGATTCAGCTGGTATGTGAAATCGATTGGGATATCTTCGAATAAGTTCTTCCCTCATCTTAACTGGATCCACAGTTTAGCTTAAGCGCTACACTTAATTTGTATGTTTTGTTTTGAATTTCGCGCAAAGCTACACGAGGGCTATCTGCGCTAGCCGTCCCTAATTTAGCAGTGTAAGACTAGAGGGAAGGCAGCTAGGTATTACCACCCACCGCCACTCTTGGGCTACTCTGTTACCAACGAATAGTGGGATTGACTTATAACGGCTAAAAGGGCGAGTATGTTTGGTGTGACGGGGATTCGAACCCGCGACCCGCAGATTGCGAGTCGAGCGCTACACTTAAACCATCATATTCACAACCATGTCTAGAACATTTCAAGCATGTTTCATTGCTACATCGTTTTGCTTTACATTTACAGTTAACTTCTCCATGTTGGCTCTCATGATCACGGGTCTGATCTTCTTTTTTTTGTCAAATTAAACAACCCAAACCTTTCCGGAATAACTCATTTTTTGGATCCACATCAAGATACCGAGGTGGCTCGTGTGGCAGATGTTAAATATATTCTTATTTGTGAGATAATTATATCTTTTAACACCATATGTGGCACCACATTATTTGGGAAGAGAAAATTAAAATATCTTATCAGATATATCCAACTGCATTTTAATTTTTTTAAAAGTTCATATCTAAATCTAAAAAAAAGTGTGCTTTATAAGTTAATTTGGTACTATACTCTAATTCTAATTCAGGATAATTTTCAAAAAGGTTAAATTCTGGATTATTCATTGGTATTAAATCATCAATATAACGGAACGTTTGTTTGTAGTTAAGCACAAAACTACACAAAGCGCCAGTTAACCTTAGTACCTTTGTTTTAGCGTAAAGCAACATAATGGGATACCTGTCCAGGGACGTATTAATAAATAGGCTTTCAAAGCTTGGGCAACAAAATTTGAGAGGCGCATCTTTGGGTCTTTGTCAGTGTTGGTCGTTGTGCGCGACTTGGAAGCGTTAAGTTCAATCCAGACCTCTTCTTCGCTCCTTTACTTTTGCTCATAAACTGCGAAATACTACGAAGTTATCCTAGAAATCAGTGAACACTAATGTAAGACACTGCGTAATACTGACTTTACTTCCCTCATCAGGGCTCTTTTGGAAAAAAATTCAAAATCTATTTGATTTTTTAATTGTTTTTGTACATGAATAAATCCTTAAGATGCGCCCCTGAAATTATTGGGCTTTAATATACTTTATTCCACGTTTATATGTTTTTTCTTTCTCTTTGATTCCCCTGATTTAAATTTCTAATAAAGATAAATTTTCTTCCATTTAACTGCACTTTAATTTATTGTCATTCTCACGTTGGTGAATAATATTTCTGGCGAGTCATTTAAGAAGGAAGAGGCACATCTAAAATAGTGAGCCTAGAGCGCCAGTTACCATTAATCCGCCTCTGTGTACCATAGATTAATAGGTTTGTTAGATTATTTACTTAACATACTGGTATATTATCAAGATAATATTGATAATGCATGTACGTTCCCCAAAATAAAATCACTTTTTTATGCTTATAAATCGATGTTTGTCAATTTACTATTATATGAGCATAATGTGGCTCCATACACAAAACTTTTCATCGGTTGGGAACATTATCATTAGTCATTCATGTTTAAATTTCAATCTCTCTCCTTTTTTTTCTTTGTCAGTAGGAACACATCAAGTGCAACAAAAGCTACCAAACTTTATTATCTTCTTGGAGACCTTATACAACCCAATTTTGATAACAAGGTAGCATCACAGATAGAAAAAACCTAAACATTGTGAAAACCTTAAAGTTGCAGCCTAAATGAACCTGACTATTAAAGTCTGGTGCTCTAGCAGCTTCGCCTTGGCCCGCTCACTCAACACCTAGGCCTACTCAATCAGAGCCTGGTTGATAGTTCCTTCGTCTGAATACATCATACAAAGCACCTTCTGCCCTTCCGTCGTAATTCCAGACCCATCCAACATTTCGTACATAGCTGTGCCACTGTGATGCACTGTTGTATTTCTTTAAATATGAGTAACATGAAAACAAAATTTTTGACTACTAGATTTGGAGTGTTTGGGCGAAACTTACAAACTAAGTACACTTACCTGTTTGCAAGGTCGTATTAAAGTAACACTGCCCCTTAAAACTGGGCAAATTTACATGCTGAGAAACACTGTTAAATACCTCTTATAAACTTCAAGTTGAGCACAAAACAAAAGTATGATATCACAATCTCTGAAAGTACACTTTTAGTCATATATATGTCATATACATAATTAATGCAGCAGGGATAAAGAAATACATAACATAAACTGTTTTAACACCATAACTTTACTTAGGAATGAGAAAAACGTGTGAAAATTGATACACATGCTTTTTGTGAACATTCTCATAGCTTGAATAAAAACTTTGAAAATGTTCTGCAACGTTAACGAACTATAAGCAATTAATTTGAATTAATGCCTTCGTTGGTGGTAATTAGACTCATAACAAGACAATTGGTAAAGATTTTTGAATTAAACAAATTCAAGCTATTGAAGAGTGTAATATCAACAAGTGTGCTAAATTTCATGCTGATATTGGCTTTAATGGTGAAGTTATCGTGCTAACTTATCACTTTGTTAACAAGAGACTGCGACATCAAACTTTTGTTTTGTGCTCAACTTCAAGGTTATAAGTGTTTAACAGTGTTTCCTCAGCATGTACATTTGTCCAATTTTAAGTGTCAGTGTTACCTTAAGGTTTAGTGGGGCCCTAGGCCCAGGTAATATTTGAAAATTATAATAATATTAACTCACTCTTGCCTCTATTCTGCTAGTTTTACGAACCATAATTGTTTGACTTGGGTGGCCAGCGGAGACTTTGTATGGCCGGGGCCTAGGTGGACTATGTATTAATCCGGTATTTGCCTTTCAAAGAATAGCAGATTTTCCTATGAAAAAAACTACGCTTGTCATCAGAAAAGTGTTTGTTTCTGGTTAAGTACAAAGATACACAGTGGGCTATCTATGCTCTGCTCATCAAGGTTAATAAAACCCGATTTTAGCGTTGTAAGCCTTTAGACTTAATGCTGAGCCACGGGGGATGGGGCGTAATCATAAGATACTACATAGAAAAAACAAGAACCTTATTTCTCAGTGCTAGCGTTGTGCTGTTAGGCTTTATATATACACAGAATTTTTAATCATTATATGTACGTGTATTCAAATGTATTAAAATTATGAAAAATCTTTTTAAGCTACCAGGGATGACAAGAAATTTAAAATATTCCAGAAACGTTTCTTTATGGTATATTTTCCATATGCAAAGCCCAAAACTCCAATACCATTATGTACATATATCTATGAAACCCACAAAAGGTATCAGAAACAGTATATATATATATATATATATATATATATA